GTACCACGAAGACCACCACACGGAGGACATGCGTGAAGTAGAACTGATATATTTCTGTATTTCGTCTAGTGAGTGAAGTAATTCGAAGCCCACTTTACTGAAAGAAAGCCGCGTGGTTGTACATGTCCATGGGCGGCGGTTATGTTAATAGTCACAGTGCTTAAAAATGTTTATAGTCACAGTGCGTGCATTTGTATATATGGTAAAATTGTACTATAGCGACGTGTTAGTTTTTTTACCTTGCAAACATTTATTGTAAAGTAACTCATTAGTTTTAATTGTATCTATTCATAAACAAATATCCTCGGAAATGACAAAATTTTAAGAGAAATCAATATTGTTCGTCAACGAAATATCTAATTCATTGATTAAATATTTTTTCTTAGAAATTATTCGCCCACCTTTGTAGTTTATAATATTATATTATAAATAGCATGTACGTTATATAAACAAAACACTAATTAAGTTATGCCTTTTAAACTTAATGAAAGGTGCAAAAGTAGATAGTCTCGCGGATATTGCATAGAATAGGTAAACGAGTAACGGATCGGCATGTTTGAAAAGTCCCTATTTACAGTACAGTTCAATTTGAAAGTGACCTTTTCCGTGATAAAAAAAGCAGAAGTATGAAAATTCGAGGACATTTCATTAACAATCCCCGTCCTGTGAAATCTATAGCACTTTTGATTCATTTCTATTTATTCGCTATTAGTAACTTCGATCATCGCCGATTATGGTTTTGTTTACATAATTGTGTTCGACAAACGTAAAGTTACCGATACAGTACAATGCAAATATTCCATTTGGACAACACGTCGGAGTGTGTTGCAGCGCAATGACAAAATTAATTTCCGCGGAGGGAAGTATAGCCGATAATCGTATTAGTGCCCTGTTTAGCTCCACACAGCTCCCGATGCAATTTGATTTACGGCCGCGGTAAACGTAATAAAAGCGATCCCCTACTCGAACTCAAAACAACCGTGGATATGTTGTGTTAATGTTTTTACCCTCGTAATGAGCTTGGCGCTGTCCTTGAATATGTTATATATAATGTTCTGCCACGGAAATTTTAAATTCCATTCCATGTGCTCTTTCATGCTTTAATCGTCAGAAATCATTACATGCCGCTTAGGATGAGTTCTTTTTTTTATGTGAGTTGTTGGCAAGTGAGCTGGCCCTTACGGTTTCAGGTGCATACTGCCTTTAAACGAATTGGGCCGCGGTTACTTCGCACGCTACACAAAACGCAGAAGCGTAGCCTTCCACTTCACGCCGGTCTTCTGTTGGTTCGTGATACTTCCTCGGACGGGCCTGCACTTGAGCAACAGCAAAGACTATTGCGTGGCCCTACCACAGTAGGAATAGATATGTTTTTTGTATTTGTTAAAGGAAAAATAGCACTAGACAATTCTTTCTGACGTTATCATGATTAACAACACTGTTATAGGATATTTTTCATTTATCGTAGTGGCTTGGTCATTGCTCGGATTGAGCATAGTAAGTTCACATAGAACTTTCAAATGTACCACACATTTGAAAGTTCTCCAAATACTAAACTTAAGTTCGTTTTCTGAGGAAACGGCTCGAAAAATCACCTGGCCATTTTCCTCCGAAGGGATGGATGCATTCTCCAATTTTTGACAAAACATCGGAAAATGTTTGTCAACGGCAACTTCTTTTTTTAGGCCAGAGATAAGAACGTTTCAGTGAGGAATTTATTTCGCCGAAGGGTGTGTAGCTCCATAGAAACAACCGCGACGTACCCCATTGGCCTTTCATCTCGGCGTATGTACTATAGTGTTCTGTCAGCGGTCTCTACGGGCGCTCACTCGAAATTCAGTCTCAGTTATGTCTAAAACTGACTCGAATGCTATGCAAGATAATAAATGGCGTTCCCTATCAGCACTAGGTCGTGCTTGCTTATCTTCGTTATCCCTACTAATATTATGAACGCGAAAGTTTTTATGTATGTATGGATGTTCGTTAGTCTTTCACGCAAATACTACTGAATGGATTTTAATGAAACTATATAATAATATAGCTTATACATCATATATATCTTATACTTGCGTTAGTTGTTACGTACGTGAGAAGTCATACTTCTTTAGTAAAGACATTAAATGAAATTGATGACTGTTTGTTTAAATGACACGGAATCATTGGTGAATGTCAAAAAGTTTTAGTCGGCAATATTAAATTAATCAAAGCAGCGCGTCGCATTTGAGGGTCGGTGTGTTCGAAACGCACCAAAAGAAGTATAAATACATAATATAAAGTAAAGTAACATCCTATACATGTCCCACTGCTGGGCAAAGGCCTCCTCTATATAGAGGATATCAGGGCATAGTCCACCACGCGGCCCCACTGCGGATTGGCGGACATCACATATCTTCGAAATATTTTTTTTTGTTATTATTTCGAAAATATGCAGGTCTTCCTCACGATGTTTTCCTTCACCGCGGAGCACGTGATAAGACAGCATTTAATGTTAAAAACTTCATTGGTGCCGGCACCGGGGATCGAACTCAGGTTGCTCGAGTATATTGAATTAAAGGCGAGCGCCCGGACACTGAGCTATCACGGCTCAAATATATCAAATACATAATATAGCAAGGGACTAAAACGAGGGACTAATACGGCTTCTGATCGCCATATTGCTTTGTAATTTTTCTATCTTACGAAGCTCTCGTCTACTTCGTACTTGAAAGGACCTGAACAACTTGCCGATGCCGGAACCCGCAACATTCGACTTCGGGAGTTGCATATCACGCTCGCTCGTGTTGCTCCCAAACTATTCGGCAACGTAGCGACGTAGTTGTCCGAGACCCGACTCGAAAGAGTGTGTTGGGAAACTGAATTACATTACACGAGCGGACCGACGGACTTTGTCCTGTGCACACGACTTATCGACAACGACTTATAAACAAAAGAATTAAAGAAACATTGTAAATCTATTTATTTATTTATTTATTAACAAAACCTTACACTATTATTACAGGTAATTAACCTAATACAATAGTGCGGCAATCTACAACATAAAGAAAAACTACTTATTTACTATATCCACTACAAATTAACAATGCAACCTTTTTGAATTCACTCAGAGAACACAAGAATAAATCTATATGCCTGGCAATAATATTTAATTGTATCTATCTCTAAACCTTTCTCGCATCTATCTGAAGACACACGAAAAATTTCATTAAAATCGGTCAAGCCGTTTATGAGGAGTTCAGTGACATACACGCGTACAGAAGAATTATATGTATGTTTTGAAGTTGTAATGTTATACTTCATAATTACGAAAAAATTATGAGGGTGAAATTTATGTGCGCGCACCTATATCGACATGATCTTTATAACACTAGTCTTTATCACGGGCACAAATAACAACATTTCGACATTAATGTACAATTCCAAGTTATTTCATTAGACCGTTATCGATTGCAGTTAATTTTCTTTTCCACAAACAAAGAATACTGGCACAGGCGGATGCAATTTTTAGTAATTGTCCTTATGATACGCTTAATACTTACGTGTAACTTCTTACGTGCCAGCGTAAGTACACGAAAGTTTTCAACCTTCCCAGATTGAATGGTTTTCAGATAAAGATAATTTTCGAGACGTATCTCGATCGTAATTATATCTGAGAAGGGTACATCACTAAACGAATGTACGCCCGCAAGCTAGGCCGCACATCGTGGTTACGCCCAATTATATTTAATACAAATACGAGGTAGATACGTCACTGGCGCACCGAAACTGAGGCACTCATGTTTCGCCAATTGGTGTTATTACATTGCAACTCTATACCGCTACCGTTCTCGGCAATTACGTCAGAACGTAAGTTACGGAAAGTGGTACCAGTGATGTAAACATCATATTATGGTATATTCACGTTTATATGTCATACTAGCGGCCCGCCCCGGCTTCGCACGGGTGCAATGTATTACACATATAAACCTTCCTCTTGAATCACTCTATCTAGTAAAAAAAACCGCACAAGATCCGTTCCGATCCTTTTAACGATCCAAGCATACAGACAGACAGCGGGACGACTTTGTTTTATACTATGTAGCGATAATGTGAGGCGGAACAATTTTAAAACCCCTATGAGGTGCATCATCTTTCTTAAAACATCATCTGACCGATTATGTTGATGATGTGATGATGATGACGCAGCCGCCAGCACTATTTTTAACCTGACAAAACATAAATCGCAAAAAAAATGCATGAACTAAAGAAAACGTGCAAAGAAGAGCATTAAAAAAATTAATCTCCCTTTAAAAATCTCAAACCTCAAAAAATGTAAGCACAACGTCAATGGCTCAGTACGGGCTATTGTATTGGTATAACTTTAAATAATGCTTAACGACGCATGGCATATATTGTAAGTAAAACCAGCATTATTTTGCATTGCCAAAATATTTAAAAGGTATGTGCACTCCCATAAACATCGCGTAAGCGGTGGGGTATGTCTGTACAATCAGTGTATTTTGCTGTTCATTTAGAAAATACTTTATAAACGACTTTCATTAACAAAGTCATTGAGGCCCGGTGACTTTTATCTGGCAGCCTCTATCTCCGCTGCTATATACACGTTAAAGCCTAATTTATTACACTTAAAAATGCATCCGAGCAACATTAAATTATACATGATGAATCCTAAATGAAAAACAAGTTTCTATTAAAAGGAAACCAATTTTCTCATTCGATTAAGTTAAGGTTGTTAACCTTTATTCAAATTGATACGGTTTCGGCAAGGATAAAAAAAACAATTCCAAAAACATGTCTAAAAACGTATAGACAGACATGTTTTTAAAATAACAGATTAACAAAATTAAGTTAACATTTTACGAATAATGTTAGAATGAAGTAGACTTTATTCCTGAACCGCCCTGAATAGTGGATGTACATTGGCACCTGTAGCTATCTCAGTCCACCCCATGACGGCCGAGGGAGATGAACGGGCGTGATACGGGCAAGCGAAAGCTAGGTCCATGATAGATAGCGCGTACGTCTCATTTACGCGCGGGCTACAGAGCGCGGCGTACGCTGTTCGCGATCGGTTGCTGCATTCCATTTTCAAACAGCTCTCCGTTCGAATCGCTCGCATCGCGGGGTACCCAATAGCTCTTTGTTGCTTCGGTAGCGATTTGAAAAAGTCCCGCGCTCTCGGCCGACATTCTACCAGCCTTTCCAACGGTCACCGCTGCACGCCGTGACCGTCCATCCGGTAGGTGGTCTTCAATTTTTTTTTATTTGTTTCATTTGTTTCATTTATTTCCGCGTTTGATTCCATTTTCAAACACGCGTTCATTTTCTACAAAATGATTTTCATTTAACAATTTACTTTTTTATCGCACTTTTGAATTATGTTACATTATATTTTTTTATTATTATAATTTTAATTTTATATTAAGATTAGTACAAATTACCATCGTTACAGCAACAAGTAGGATACCGACGCGAACGATATTATGATTTAAATTTTTTTTTAACTTAAATCAAACTTTGTAATCGCTGATACGTCAATTGTAAGTTGCGTTATGCCATTATACTTTCCATTTATATACTTGTTTAAAAACAATTAAGATAGACAATCGTTGAAATTAATAGAAAATAAAACGTAAATCGAAAAACATCTCTCATAAAAAATCCAACCATTTATTTGTGCTTCGCGCAGGCAATTAATATTTTATTTAACCAATTAATATTTTTTAGACAATTATTATTTTTACCTACGTAAGTTACTCAAACGTCGAAAGCTCGTGCAAACAGATTACAAGATTGTCGTCCAACTCGTATCAAATTTAACCAAAGTAAGCTGCAATTAAAAAAAAATATTCCCCCATGCCATTCGCGTCGTAAACGATCGTTATGTATCATTAACGCTATAATCTACCCTTTTAAAGAAGGATTAAGCAGTTTCTTAATTTAAATATATGAATTTAATTTAAGATGAAATAAAAGTTAAAAGACAAATACAAAAATAATTAAGTCACTAACGGCTTAGGGAGTATAGAACCCCGACGGATATTAGGATCGCGGGTTCAATTCGGGGGCATACTATGAAATTAATGGTTGTTACGTTATTTTCCCAATAATTACGTTCGTGTAATGCGATTGATATTACACGCAATTAATGGTAAATTCGCATTAATTACGTGAATACGGGTACGATGCCTCCTGCATGGCAAATTCATAGCGACAATTCTTAAATCCCGTCCCGTTTGAGATCGTCTAGGCCCAGCAGTAGTGGCAGACTCAATCGGGGTTCGAATCCGCGAGTCCGTAAGAGCTGAAGCGTCCCTTGAAATATATCGCCAGCCGTCCCGCGCTCTACACCTGCGTTATAATTGTAACGTCACAGTTCGCGTGGAGCGACGCGGACGAAATTTCAAATTTTCGCTTCGCCTCATCGGATCGACCGCGCCGTTTCAATCAAAACGCCCCGGAGCTTCCGTAAAAGTTTCCGTTTTTCAATCGGCGACGTCGAAAGTATATTTAACTATGCGCTTGTGATTGATTTTTGCGCACGCGTTTTGTGTTTGTCGGTTCATTTCCTTTACCGATTGGCGCTTCGATAATTCGATTGATCGGACTGTCACAAGGGATTTTGACCTTTTACCGATTTGCATTTTACCTCCCCCCATCTTGAAATATTTTTTATTGTATTCATTTATTATTTTATTAATTAATTCATTCATTATTTTTTATTAATATTTATAGTATTTCATTAGTTGAAATTTTAGTTCCGTGCCTATGTAAAAAAATTGTAATTAAATTTAAAAAAATCTGGTTGCAAAACAATATATCAATTTGGTACTTAATATAGTGGATAAATATTGCTCTATTAGAAATTTTATGTGAATGAATTTAAACACCAAATTTATTTGCATACGGCGCAGTTGCCAAGGTATATTGACTTCGACGTCGGGGGTCGTGGGTTCGATTCCCGCACGGGACAACTATTTGTGTGACCCGCAGATAATTGTTTCGCATTCGGGTGTTCGTCCACGTGAATTTTATGTTTGCAAAGCGTTTTTACAACACAGGATAGTGCTATCCCAAAGTATGGGCAATGTTTAAAAAAAAAATGAATTATATGTTGACTTTACGAAATCAGCCCAAGGGAGGGCGCGATGAGTATTTCAAGCACAGCATCCATATTTCAGTGGCGTTTTCGCCCATCATTAGTATCGGCCATAATTAGCATAGGCAGATGAAGATAAAGCCGATATTGGCGGGAAATTGATAACTTCCCAGTATGCTTCAGCGCGGCAAACAAAATAGTGTTTAAATGAACATGCAGGGATGTTCGATGTGGGTACAAAATGAAAACACTTTTTGCGTGTCTACTTGTTGATTTTGTAATAATGTTTAACAATGCATGCGTTAAATGGACGCTTCTGATACTAGTAAAATTTTGAACGACAAGACAAAAGTGAATACAAAGTCAAATTGAATAGAAGGAAGAAAAGTGATTGACGTACAGCTCGAGTTATAATTTGTACCAAAAAGGTTACGTAGAAAACAAATTGCTCAAACAAGGGATATCCAATGAATATCGCCAACTTAACATTTAGTTAAGTTACACAAATATATATATTGAAATATTAATTTAAATTTCGCGCATTAAAATATTAATAATCATGTTTTATATACTCTGTGTCTGGCTTCTCTTTAGTTTACGATATATATTTTTTTCTTTCTCTATTCTCGTGACTAAAGTAAATTACTTATAAACTGTAATTTCATTGAATAAACTTGTATTCACATATAAATCGTCTTCCACTCATTTAAAATTAAACAGGTTACGGGTCCAGACAACCTGAAAAATTCGAACAAATCTTACAATAGCGCACAAAAAATATGCAACCTTACCTAAAAATTCAACATTTCAACTATCCGAACTACAAAATCCATACAGTACAATGAATAAATATAAAACAAGTGCGTTTCGCACCATTATCTATAAAAACAATTTAAAAAATCATGTCTGTTGTATGGGAACCCCACTATAATAATTTTTTATTCTGTTTTTTAGTATTTATTGTTATAGCGGCAACAGAAATACATCATCTGTGAAAATTCCAACTGTCTAGCTATCACGGCTCACGAAATACAGCGCGGTGACAGACGGACGGACAGGCAGCGGAGTCTTAGTTGTTAGGCCCCGCTTTACCCTTTGGAAACGGAACTCTAGAAACTGTGTTTGTGCTTATTTTGCGTAAAAAAAGACACATTTTATCCCCTTTTCCAGTACACTCTGTTTGTGAGAAAGCCATTAAATGCAAGTGATAGCGGTTTAATTAAATAATTTGCTAGTTGTGGGTAAATGTCAAAAAGTTATTATCGGTAGCCATAGGAGTAACGTCGAGGCTGGTCGCTTTTCGACCCACTACATGATGTCGGTGTAGGCGCGCGCGCGTCCTGTAAAATTTTATACTCATAATTTTTTCGAAACGCACCAAAAGGAGTATAACTTCAAAGTACAATGTACACACTTCACACAGCATAAGATAGATTACTGTATTTACATAAGATGCACTAATTGTTTTGTTTATTACAAGATACAAATTATAATTCAATATCCTCACTCTAACCACCAACTGTTATTTTACAGACACCTAAGCTAATTCATTTTCATGTAGGTATGAGGTAGAGGTAAAACAAGAAAGCTTTAAAAATCCGTTTCATACCATCGACGAAAGATTTTCTTTCATAATGTATGCAGACTCACGAATCTAAGTGTGAAATATGCACATGTGTGTAGAGTACGATTTAATGGATTGTGCATTTGAGATATTTGTGTTGTTTATTGATAGTATGCAGTTAAGATATTGGGATAATTGGAAACCGATATTGACTTTTTATTTGATATAAACTGACTTATGAAAAAAAAAACTTTACCCTCTCCCGGTGAACGCAATTAAATATATTTTGTAATACATTTATTTATTTCTGTATCCTAACAAAAAATATAAAATAAAGTAACAGCCTATATACATTTATTCCACTACCGGGCAAAGGCCTCCTCAGTACCGAGGCATAGTCCACCACAAGTCGAGTCGTTTAATCTTTATTCAATATAGAAGCATTACACTTACTTATTGATAGTCAAAAAACTCTACTACCGGTTCGGAAAGAGAGCCACTGACCTGAGAAGAACCGACGTAAGAAACTCGGCGGAGCATTCTTTCAACTAGAAAAAAAAAAATGTGTGCGTGTACTAGCGTACACTCGTAAGAAATGAAAATTTTTTATGATGATTTTTAAAAAAATAATTTACTATATGCAACTTTACAGAAATTGGTTAAATAAAGTTAAATTAGATAAAGTTTAATAATACAATTCTAAATTATTTCTTTTAGCTTTTATCATATTTAAATACAAATTCTACATATTGGCGTTAGTATTTTAGCTTTGTATAATTATTGAGGGTTTCTTATTTTGATAATACATGGTGGCGTTTATTTCAATAAATCAACCCAAAATACAACGAATTTGTACATGGTCCTTCGTTGCCGAATAGTCAGCCAGTGAGTAGAAGGCAGACATTCGACTCGCGCGCGAGTGTTGTGAGTGAAGTTTTTTTGGAAAATCGAACTTACGGACGTTGGATCGACCTCGCAACCGCAAGTTCCAGGAGCCGATCGAGGTTTTGAAGAGCATCATCGGTCAGCTTCAGATTGTGTCTTCGGTGGAAGGCGCAGTCAGGTCACGGTGGGCGGTGCCTGCCTTTGGAGAAGAGGAAGTCGACACAGTGTCGTGCTCTGAAGTATTAGAGCTAGCACTGTCATTACTACAAAGATTATTATTGAATTTCATTAATTGTAATAGAATTATTACTATCATTGATGTCGTTATTATATATTTGTGTTATTAATGGCTTATGGTAACTGAAATACGAAATATATTTTTTACATTTTAGAATTAGAATTAAAATAAACTCTTTGATTTTGCTGATCACTTTAATATATACATATATATATATATATATATATATATATATATATATATATATATATATATATACATGAACACACAAGGA